AATGACGCAATCGTCTTTGCTGCAGTGGTTATTGGCTTTTGTATTATAGTTGAACATTACTGCTGCACGAAAAGTGATAGCAGCAGAATACTGACCTGCCAAAGGCTGATTCCTTCAGCGGCAATTTTGATATCTTAGTGGAATAATTAGTTATTGTTTTAGGCTATGCTAAGGTTCACCGAACAATGGCGCACATCATTTACACATACTTTTAAGTCCTGTGCAGGGCACGTGTTCACCTTGTACAATAGAATCGTGCAGCCTAGAGATTAACCCAGCACAACAATATCGGCTTGTGTTAACATTGTATTAGTCCATCAACCAAGGCTCCATTCTGCTTTCTAGCAAATTCATAAAAATTACTCCCTGAAGGGGAGAGTTTGTAATGTGCTAACACTTCGGAGGATATGACTGGCGTCGAGTGTGAATGTGCGGATAAATATTAAATTTGGTTGAATAAATTCTCAACATTTACTGGATCAGTCGTTAGCATTTTAGGTGGATACAGAAGTGCTGGTTCCTGCAGGCAGTTAATTTTGATATGCTATGATTCCTTAATAGGTATAAGGTTATAAACACATAATAGGTGGTAAACTTCTAACAAAGTAATGTTAACATTAATATACGTTTACAGCGCCCGACAGTCACTTGTGAAAAGAGTGTTTTCTCTATTTTGTTCACAAACAATAAATTTAAGGATTTTCGAAAGTGTTACTCGAATGCAAAATGTGCTGCATCCACAAAACCACTACCCACAGATTTCGTGGTCTTGCCGCTGGGTGGCGCAGCGCTTGCACGAAAGAGAAAGAGGAGACTGGGTGCAATGCTCAGCTCGTGCATTGGCTCATGAATTGCAGTTAGCCTGCTCTGCTGCGGGCCACCCCATTCTGGTGGGGAAAATATGGTTTGTAACCTGAAATTGTGTAGCAAGAAGCGACAGCGCCGAACGCGGTGATGCGGCCTTTTCTACTTTATTCCAGCATGCGTAGCAATGTGCGCTATCGGGGCACCTTAAAGTAAATTTTATCGAAGCAAGGAACCACAAGGTATAAAAAAACAGCTATGTATTTTCAGCAATGTCATTTTCGGAGGCGTATATATAACCGATATTGGAAATAACGTTTTGTTGCCTAAAGTTAGTGCTTGCATTCGTCTATTGCCTTACCTTTGCACTTGTTTCCTCGGTATGATACAAGCCAGTTTACTTTAATCAAATGAAGCGGTGTAGGTGTCCGGTTTAGCCGAGACCATGTTGCCCGTTTAGAATGACGCGGCATCAACTATTGAAGTGGCGTGGTTCTAGGGTGGGAGGTAATGACAGACTCTTGAGCGGATGGGAGTGTCATAAACTCCTTCAAAGCTAATGGCCTTGCCAGCAGTATTCATGGAGTTTCACTGATCTGCGCAGGTAGTGGAAGAGCAGATGGAGCGCAGGGCATCCCGTCGCAACGTCGAGGACGCCAACCAAGGCGACATCTTCCAGGAGGTGCGCCTGGATGACAATGGGAACATGGAGGAGGCACCCATCACCGGTAGCGTAGCGTCGCGTGCATAAGCATTCGATGCTTGGCGAGTGTTCTTCCCATATTCCGAAGCAATATTTACCTTAGATGATTTACTTACGTGAAGACAGGCACCATGCTTTTCTCCCAAGGAGCTCATTGACGTTCAGAGAGTCAAATATAAGATGATCCAAAGCGGAAGATCTGTTGTTTTGCTCTTACCAATTCCAGTAATAAGGCGAGATTCCAGTAATAAGGCTCTCTCTTTGCAAACATGATAAGTACAGTACAACTTAAGCAGCCAGCCACCTCGACTGTTGGCTCTTTCTCTGCTGCAGGTACGCTCCTTTCTGGCGACAAGTCAGCGGGCGCGGCGCTGCGCATCCCGACGGCGGTGATGTACTCGTTCGGCGTCGTCATGCTGCTGTCGTCGTGCGTCATCCTGGTGTCGCTCTTCTACATCATGTCGTCGGGCCGGCCTTTCTCTCCGCGCGACAAGCCGCTGCCCAAGCCGGACCCGACGATGACCATCAAGCTGCGCGTGGCCGACCTGCCGGAGAGCTTCCTCGGGGCGCTGCGACAGCGGGCGCCGCCGGACCGGAGTGGGCAACGGATCTGCGGCCTCCGCTTCGGCAGGTAGGTACAGATGTGAAAGACTAGTGTAGAATTGGGCGGATTGGTATATCGAGATTACACAGGCTTGGAAGCGCAGGAGATATGAAAAGACTTGAAGAGAAGACAAACAGTGCTGCTTGCAACCGAATATTTGTGTCGAAACGCTTCACCTTATGTAATTTCAACGTCCGTCCAGGTGGTGTATCGATTACGGTGCTCGATTGTGGGGTCGAAGGTCGCGGGTTCGAATTCGGCCGCGGCAGTCGCATTTTAATAGAGGCGAAATGGCACAGTCCCATATGTTGTGCGATGTCAGTGTATGTAAAAAAAAACACCAGATGATCGAAATTTCCAGAGCCTTCCTCTACGGCGTTCTCCATGAGCTATCGTAGTTTTGGGACATGAAACCTCTTATATGATTGTTATGTAATGTTGACAACAACCCAGCGCGACACTTAAACAACTGCAACTGAACACGTGAATGATACTTTTTTATCTTCACTTTATTGGTTAGAGCAGTAGAACGCCTGGTGAGACATTCTCGTTATTTTAAGTACATTATTTTCTGCTTCAATTGTTTTGCGGAAGGACCGATCTGAGCGTGATCTTAGCGATTATGTTGCAGTCTAAAATATTGGCTCATGCTCTGCAGAGGTCCAGAGTTCTTATCCCGCCACACAGCTGCCGTGTTTCGATGAGGGCCAAATGAAAAGAGGCCTTCATGCACTATGATGAGTATCACTAGCGTGAACACGCAAGCGCGCGGCAAATTGTCTGAAAACACCGATTTGAGTGATGCTGTTGGAAATAAAGTGCAGAATGCGGCTTTTCTGCGCAGAGTTCTCTCGCTCCTACAATAAAGTTGATTACCTACCAATAAAGTTGATTACCTACCTACCTCTCTCGCTCCTAACCCGTACCTGTTTTAACGGCACACGGCAAGTATGCCAGATACGCGCTCTGCGTGACATACCTGACTTATCATTGCGAATGCCCAACGGCACGCAATTCGTCGCTTTTCCATATCCACAATAGAAAAGAGGTAGTGCCAGCAGTTCACTGGACCACGGCGTTCTTTGCAGTTTGATTCCGATAGCGTCCGCCGCGAATCCATGTGCATCGTGCCCGAGGTGAATGGCCATGCGCCCAAGCGTTCCCGCTGAGATCTCTTGCAATGATACGTGCATGTAAGCCAATCAGTTCTAGAAAATTCCGCAAGGTAGTGGCGCAGTAGCACAGGGAAAAATTGCACCCCATTTTTTTGTAGAGAAAACTGACAGCGCAATTTGGTCACATTCTCAGATGAAAAAATTTAGTTAAGGAAAAAAATCCGACCTTAATTGTCCGGGGCTTTCAACCTTGCGGAGAATGTGCCCATACCGGACGCCAAAGTCGTGAATTAGGGTCACCGCTAGTTTTAAAATGTTTTAAGCATGGAGCACTTGAGGGGCCCGGAATGTCGTACGGTTCCGTATGTTGTCGTCGCTTGGCGCAACGGATATAAAAGCACGTACAGCGTAGCCTTACGTATACCATACCGAGCACGCGCTCACGCCAAGAAATCCTCTGGTGTCTTCAAGGGTTTTGATGGCGATAGTAAGCGTGGAGCGCTTTAGGAAGCCCGTCTCTTGTATGCTGTCATCGCATACAACAGAGAGAGAAGAGGGGCGGAAAAAAATCTGGTGAAGAGGAAAAGAAAGCCCAGGAGAAACAAAGAGGGCTGTCCTGCTCAGTGCTCACTTAGCCTTGGCGATCTTCCTTATGACAGCTCGCGGAACATATGCGGCGTACTTGAAAGTAAAAGGCTGCGCGTGGATGACACAAGTTCGTATGCCATGGTGCAGCAGTGGTTGTGGAGCTCGACTGCTTCCCCAAAGGTTGAGGGTTATCGATTCCGGCCGCGGGTTCACATTTCAACGGACGCTAGGTGGCAGAAGCTCGTGCATCATGGAGTGTAGAGGACGTTAAAGAACACCAAATGGTTGAAACGTCTGAAGCCCTCTCTGCTGCGTCCTTCATAATCATATCGTAATTTTGAGACATCAAACTGTAGAGATTCTTCTTCGTTATTATTGTTTTTAAATGACAGTTTCACATGCAATCATACATTCACATGAAGGGTCTCTGTACTCTTCTATGCGAACGCTCTAAAAAAAGAGCGAGTAAAAAGGGTGTCTTTTTGTCCCACAACAATCATCACTATCTATATTGCGTTCCATCCTTGCGCTATCACCACGCGCCCGGTACATTCTGGTCACGATCGACATGCCCATTGTCAGGGTTAATGCATTCTCGATAGGAAAGTGGCCAGCGCCGAGTTTTCAAGAAAGGAAGCGCACGCAAGCCTAATGACGATTGTTGTTGTGGACAAAAAAGATGCCTTTTTACTCGGTATTTTTTTAAAGTGAACGTGTTCTTTTTCCCACAGCCTTTTACACCTTAACACACTATCCGAAGAACAAGTTTTACTGTTCACTAAACATTTCGAGAGTTTGAGGAGGTGTTTATGCAACACAACAATAATCATCTACTTCGAGTACATTCCTCACGTTATCAGCACGATTCCGATAGTTCGCGGTTCCGAACGGCGCGCTCGTTATCAGTCTGACATAGCATTTCCGACAGGAAAAGTGGCCAGCGCCGGGTTTTCCAGGAAAGGAAACGCGAGCAAGTCAGATGACGATTATTGCTGTGCGGCAGAAGTACTCCCCGAATACTCCATTTTTTATCTTATAGAGGGTATGTGGCGTTTGCTTTCACTCCGTGGACAGCCAGTGACCCTAGCCGTGGTCGCGGAGATGGCCGGCGCCACTCGCCAGCAGCGCCCCCGCTTCTCGCCGGCAGCGACCACCGTGCTGCAGTGCAGCGTCGGGCGAACCCATGATGTCGGCCCAGATGTACGGCGATAGCGCCTTGGCCGAAGAAGGCTACTCGAACATTGGGAGAGTCGGCCCGGGATCGTCCAGGGGTGACGTCAAGGAGATCGTCGTCATCCAGAGCCCCATTTGCGGCCAGGTGTGGGAGAGTCAACGCATCGACTGCCATCCCGAAGCGGCCCCGAGCCTCGAGTCGTGCCGGTAAGTCACGTACTCTTCAACACATTTCCGTAGCTACAGCTGTGATCTAAGTTCACACTGTAAAAAAAAAGCTCAAGACACACGTTTGGAATGGTTAAGACGAAAGAACAATAGGTTTTTTTTAGCTTTCAGCGGTGACTCACTTCGTACTCACTTCGGTCTTTCATTAAGCGGCCGCCCCTCCACTAACACCCAAGGATGATAGCTACTTGGCCACTGCCACATGTATACTTTCGTGCGTGTGTGTCGAAACGTCCTTCACAGCGTTTTGATAAACATCCCGAGTTTTTTTTATGAGTTTGCGTCACAATCTTTTTCCGCATTATTTTGCAAGTCATGCATACGAAACCAGGAGCGTATCTTAGATGGCTACGTGAGACACTGTAGACGTTGTTTAACTGAAGGCGCCGTAAAGTAAGGAAACATCCATAAAAGAAAACTCGGCGGAATCTGGCTAACGGAAATCAATTTTGGGTAAATGCTGGAGTTGTACACACGTTTTGTTGTTTTATCAGTTATCTCTAAAGAACAGTCCATAGAGTGGGCGAAATACGATCTCTGAATCAGTGAACACCCTTGGCTTCATGGAATGGTATCCTCGCAGAGTACGCGGCTGCTGCTTCGAACCGGTCAACGCGTCCTCTGAGAACTTGGAGCCCGGTTTCCAGCTGCCACCAGCCTGCTTCTACCCGGCCAACTACCTGGGCTACAAGGTAGACTCCATTCAGCGGTCCCCGACGAGAATCGTGGCGCGTGCCATACGCGTCACACCATCCGGGCTTCCGGACGACCTGCGAACCATCCAGGTGGAAGTGACCAACTACAACGACAACACTGCCCGCATCAGGGTACGCGCATGCGCACACGTGGATGCAGCACGCTAACTCGGGGATGCAGCCACGACTAGTGCGATAGGAGACGTCAGATTGCAGGAAGTTGTCAATTTGAACTTCAAGTAGTAGTAGTAGTAAACATTTATTTAGAAAAAAAAGAGAGGTTGCTAGGGAGACCAGCCTCTAGTGGGTCAGCCTCTCTGCAGTACTAGGTGGAGTTCATAGTGAGGGACCCCATTGGTCGTGGCCGCTGTCCTGGCATGCTGGATTATGACTCGTTGGGCCGCAAGGTCCTGGCAACCGAGCAGGGCCACCTCCCAGTCCTCTCTTGTTCAAGGATGGTCCGTTAGACAGGGAATACTATAACACTTGTACTGAAACGCTTTCACTGATTTACATAAGTCATGAACGACATCGCCGAAGTGTATGCCAAGAACATTTCATTTTCCACTTTTGTACGCATCCTAATCGCCTTCAGCCTACGGTGCTATTAGAAGTGCATTTGCGCAATAGATATACAAAAAGAATTCACAGTAAAAAATGTTCTCACGTTTCGTCCGGCCCAAGTTACTTGCCACACTAAAAAGCTTCACTTTTGTGAAGTTTTCAGCTTTTAGATCTCGCACTGAGTTAACTACGACGTCGTCAGTGCAGGTTCAGGCATTCACCTTCACCTTTGTCAAGGCAGAGCCAATTTACTAGTAAGGGTTACTAGTAAAAGTTGGATTATAAATGTAATGTGTTTTTCTCAGATAGTTTCCCCCAAGGATAAATCTTCAAATGGCGCGAACTGGTCAAACACTGTGTGTCAGTGAAACCAACGCTTCGGCAAAGGAACCGTCTTTAGACAAGTCGCTTCGTCGAAACGTTGAACGTGCACACACATCTGTACCTACGTTCCCTTAGACGCGAAATGTAGCGTACGTTTTCTTTTTATTCCGCGAGACATGTTCACAGGTGTACGACTCGAGGTCTGCGCGGTACGAAGTGCCCTGCCTAACGTACCACAGAAGGACCACTACTTTCCTGTGATGTACGAGACCTCGGTTAACCCGGCCGGAGACCTCGAGATCATCCGGCCCGCGTCTAGGAAAGTTGTGTACGTAGCACACTTGCAGCTGTGACACTACGTCGATTCGAAGCAATCGCTGTACTGGCAAGCTACGTTGCTTGTGGGCAAGAGCACGAAAAAGAGGCTTGATGTAGGCTTCGTCTCTTGACAATCCTCACTTAGTGTGCTTCAAGATAGACGTTAGAAAGATATGACTTCGTGTACTTATAGTAACAAATACTATTATCTCGTATTCGGATACAGGGTAACGCAACTTCCTTCTCACCGCTAGGTGCAACGTTCCGTAATCACACAAATTACCATTATAAGCAACGTGTTCGCTAAGCGTTCCGTTGTATAAAGCTAAAACACGTGGTAGTGTACGTTTTGTTCTAAAAAACTTGAACACAAGACAGTTAATGTTATTCGTTTATACCTACAGATATTCAGTTTTAAAGACTTACTGTTCAATGTACAGGCGTTCTAACAGTAACCCAAATGGACCTAGGGAGTGCGCGGTAGGCTTGCGGCATCCTAAACGATTGCAGCACGTTGGGACATGTAATGAGGACAGGGGTTCTCTTATTGGGAAGCGCATTGTAGAGGATGTAGCTATAACCTCTCTAGCAGTCATCATACTGCTTTTGTCAAGCTTGAGTACAATTCCGTGAAGTGGTCGTAATTGCTCTGTATCAGAGAATATGAGGAATATAAGCCGGATATGAACACGGAAGTGGTTCTGCAGATTCCACACAAACCTGTCAACACTGGTGTTCGCGGACCAGTTTCTTCAGATGTCCACATACATTCCGTCACGTTACGTTTACGGGGTCGGAGATGTGAAGTCACCGCTGCTGCGAAGTACGGACTGGCAGAAGATCACCCTTTTCAACGCCGGGAGGTCGCCCATGGTGAGATTTTGTTGTTTTTCGCCTTGGTCACAGTGCGCTGACTACCGTGAATTTTAGGCCATATGTTGAGATGGCACACCAGACTGCTAGAGAGGTTAGTTATAAAGCGATTGTTATTGTGACTATAATACAAGGTGATACGGTTCTGACTAGTAGGCTGTTAGCACTGGAATCCATGCGCGATCTCTACTAGTTCTGACTAGTAGAGATCGCATTGTGGTACCAGTGCGGTATGTTTCCTCATTCTAAGGAGCGCAGTACCAAAAGTTTTGGTCGTCGCCTCATGCTCGAGAGTGAAGTGACGTGAGCAAAAGCGTCAGATATGACGCCATACTCACACTGTCAAACTTGAATGAAATGGAAAGGTTTGCATGTTGTACAAGTGTCACTATTTTCCCAATCTCAGTACTTGGCTCGTGTCACTGGGGGGGGGGGGGTAACCCACGCCGTGCCACCTCGCTGTTCTGGCAATCTTGCCAGTACCCTACTGTCAAACGCAGATATCTGCAGTGACTTGCTTCTCTAGCAATGACGCGATAATTACACTGCTATATTGGTCATTGTCACGTTGCAAAGTGAACATAAGCTGGGCCATGTCACACTAACCACTTTTCGCAAGATGTTTCTCTACAATTGCTATATTTTTTTCATCAATGCAAATGATCGCCATGGTGTTCAAGTGGCTAAGGCGTTCGGCTGCCGACCCGCAAGTTGCGGGGTCGAGTCCCTGTCACGGCACCCGCATTTTCCATGGAGGCTGAATTGTTTCAGGCCGGTATGCTTGTAGATTTTGGTGCGCGTTAAGAAAACCCAGATGGTCGAAATTTTCGGACTGCTCGATTACGGCGTCTCTCATATTGCCACCTACTTCTAGTAGTGGTTCGTATGCCAAGGTGAAGGCTCACACCACAGAGAAGAAAGAAGTGCGCGTGCCTCCCCCCCCCCCCCCCCGCTGCTCTGGCAAACAAGCCCAACCGACGCGCTTGGTTAGAGCCCTGTTGCTCAGACGTCAATAAACCTTGTCGACACCCCCTGGAGTGACGTGACAATTGGTGGAGGTGCTGGGTAGCTCCTAACGGATGTTTCAGACCCCTCCTTGAAGCGGCACCACAAGCCCAGTGCGAGTCAACACTCCCGTTCATCAGACAAGCCGCAGGATCAGGGGATTGCCACCTGAAGCTGACCCTACAGTTGACCCCAGTATGATGAGCACGTCCATTCAAACCACTTTAACAGGTACGGAAACCCCCCGGTGACTCGGTACACCCCCGAAAGTCCACAGGTTCCGACACCGTTTCATGGCACCGAGCTCGAAGACGTCGAGGACTGGTTGGTCGACTTCGAACGCGTGGCTGCTTTGAACGACTGGAATGACGCGGCCAAACTACGGCGTGTGTATTTCTATTTGGAGGATGGAGCACGTACCTGGTACATGAATCACGAGGAACAGATGACATCGTGGCCCGAATTCCGCCGCCGGCTGTTGGATACTTACAGAAGTGCGGATCGCCACGAACGAGCGGAGCGAGCGATCCAGGCCCGCATCCAGATGCCCAATGAAAACTGTCATGACCTATGTGGAAGATATGACGCGCCTGTTCCGACGGGCGGATCTGAGTATGACAGAAGAAAAGAAGTTGCGTCACCTGATGCGGGGAGTTAAGGAGCAGCTTTTCGCTGGCCTTGTACGGAGCCCTCCGAACACCGTCGCCGAGTTTTTTTCCGAAGCCGTCACAATGAAAAAGATACTTCAGCATCGATCCACCCTGTATGAACGGCAAGTGAACACGCGTCCACTGCTCAAGTTCTCACGACTTTTGGGAGCAACACCGAGTGTCTGCGCGACCTTATCCGCTCTATAGTACGCGAGGAGCTGCAAAAGGCTGCGACACCACCACTACCTACGGTGAGTTCCATTGCAAGCATCGTCAAGGACGAGCTGCATCATGCCCTTCGTGACCCTGTGAGTCTGGATAACGCCACACCCGCCCCGGCTGACTACCACCGTGCGACCTATGCGGAAAACCTTGAAAGCGCCCAGATCCTCTTCCCCGCTGTTTGCTAAACAAACACCTCCTACGGTTCACTCAGTCGGCGCAAGCCTCTACGGTACTACGAGAACACACGCACGCCCCGCCCCGTGAATTTTAGGCCATATGTTGAGATGGCACACCAGACTGCTAGAGAGGTTAGTTATAAAGCGATTGTTATTGTGACTATAATACAAGGTGATACGGTTGCGTAAATTCTGACTAGTAGAGATCGCGCATGGATACCAGTGCGGTATGTTTCCTCATTCTGAGGAGCGCAGTACCAAAACTTCCGGTCGTCGCCTCATGCTCGAGAGTGAAGTGACGTGAGCAAAAGCATCAGATATGACGCCATACCGACACTGTCAAACTTGAATGAAATGGAAAGGTTTTGTATGTCGTTGTACAAGTGTCACTATGTTCCCAATCTCAAAACTTGGCTCGTGTCACTAAGAGGGGGGGGGGGGGGGAGTAACCCACGCCGTGCCACCTCGCGGTTCTGGCAATGTTGCCAGCATCCCTACTGTCAAACGCAGATGTCTGCAGTGACTTGCTTTTCTAGCAATGACGCGAAAAATACAGTGCTATATTGGTCATTGTCATGTTGCAAAGTGAACATAAACTGGGCCATATCAGACTAACTACTTTTCGCTATATGTTTCTCTACAATTGCTATATTTTTTTCATCAATTCAAATGATCTCCATGGTGTTCAAGTGGCTAAGGCATTCGGCTGCCCACTTGCAGGTCACGGAATCGAATCCTAGTCACGGCACTCACATTTTCCATGGAGGCTGAATTGCTTGAGGCCGGTGTGCTTATAGATTAAGGTGCGCGTTAAAGAAGCCCGGATGGTCGAAATTTCCGGAGCGCTCCACTACCACGTCTCTCGTATATTATCGTCGTTTTTGGACGTTAAACCTGCACAATATTATAATTTATTATTACGCATGCAAATGAAAACCTCTTCGTGGTCGCAGGAGGGCAAGAACTTGTACAGCAGCCACCCGTTTATGCTGGTTCACGAGGAAACTGGTGAGAGCTGTGGAATCTTTCTGCTCAACAGCAACGCCATGGGTAAGTCACATGTTGACTGCATAGGAAAACGCCATCGTACCGTCAGCCAAACGCATACTTTATTGTAAGTGAATCATCACAAATGCATTCGATCGATGTCGTACGGTCGAGTTTCATAACATGATAATTACTTCGTGGAGTAATAAATGAATTGGTTATTACAGTAAGAAGATCTTAACAATAAGTGCGCACTTGCGGTACATCGGCACATGCATGGCTGTATGAAGGTAATAAGTGCTCGCGTTGAAATGTATAAGGTGGTGCTTAAGTACGCTTGCTTTTGCTCTTCGGAACAAATGTAATGAAATGAGGTAAGCGGTCCTATTAATCGATTTTCTGCAGCGGATAGATTCGGACTTTATTTCAGTGCAACAAAGAGAAATATATAATGCCTAGAGCTGAACAAATATAATCTTTTCATTTTCGAGAACTCTTTAAACCCAGTTTTCAAAGTTCTACTTGACGCGGCGCTTCTTTGAAAATAGTATGTTCAAGCCGAACTCCTTGGTATAATCTTTTCAGTACACGCTGCTAAGTGGTGCTTTATGTAGGAATTGCCCTTTTATAGAAATTGGAGATACATGAAGCTTAATTTGTCGTTTTTTTGGGCAGATGAATACTCTAAACGACAGGCCTCCTCTTAACAACAACGCAGTGTTTGCGTCTCGCAGAGGTCCTCCCTCTCACAAATCTCCTTTTAACTGTTATCGTGGTGGGCGGCAAACTCATAGCCGAAGTGAGAAACAGAATGAGCGTATAGAGTCGGGTGACTTAAACTTCTGTTAATATTCATCAAACAAATCAATACCTTGTCTGCAACACGCTGATGAGAGGAATCTTGTCCGGCATCGTCTTTCTCCATTCCCGTCATCAACAAAATGCTCCTGCAACGTTTTAATGTTTGAGCTGACAGGAGCCCTCTGTAAGACAGGAATGTTTGCATTTTCGATCTGACATGAGTTCCTGGTAGGGTACTGGACATGCCGGAAGTAACTTCTCAATCTTTTCGTCTCGCAGACATCCTGCTCAAGCCGAGTCCCTCGGTGACTTTCCGCACGACCGGTGGGATTCTGGACGTGTTCGTGTTTCTGGGTCCCACGCCGTCCGAAGTTGTGCAGCAGTACACGGCCCTAGTGGGTCGACCCGCCATGCCTCCGTACTGGGCACTGGGCTTCCACCTAAGCCGCTGGGGCTACGCCAACATCGACGAGGTCAAGGAGACGAGACGCCGCAACCTACGAGTTGGCATCCCCGTCGAGGCCGTGTGGTTAGACGCTGACTACATGGAGGGTCTACGACCGTTCACATACGACAAGGTCCGCTTCGCCGGGCTCCCCGAGTTTGCTCAGGACCTGCACAAGCGAGATATGAAGTTTGTCCTCACGCTGGTTAGTATCTCAAGCCCCGTTGCTGGGCGGGCTTCTCGTAGACACTTGGAGTGATAGATGATATATTTAGCGAGATAAGCATTGTGTGCAGTCCAACGGGCACTCTGTTTTTTACAAGACGACCATGTTTCATAGCTAAAGAACCTTAACGTCTGCCGCTCAGTGTCGGCTCAAATTGGGCGGTCAACGCACGTGAGAGAGGGTTTCACTGCTCGCCGCGGTGGTCTAGTGGCTAAGGTACTCGGCTGCTGACCCGCAGGCCACGGGATCGAATCCCGGCTGCAGCGGCTGCATTTCCGATGGAGGCGGAAATGTTGTAGGCCTGTGTGCTCAGATTTGGGTGCGCGTTAAAGAACCCCAGGTGGTCGGAATTTCCGGAGCCCTCCACTACGGCATCTCTCATAATCATATGGTGATTTTGGGACGTTAAACCCCACATATCAATCAATCAATCAATCAATCAATGAATCAGGGAGGGTTTCACTTTTATACATACGGCGAGGAAGCGAGTTGCCTCTTATTGACGAATAGAAGCGTTTGTTAGATGACTCGAACTTGAGCATGCATCATCAAGAAATCCGTAGTAGACAGGTTCGTTTTGACCCGACTTTCTTTTCCTTTTCCCTCATTCCTTTCATCGGTCGTGGGGTTTGGCGTGACCAGTCGAAAGAGGTGGCGCATGTCTCCACATGTCTAATTACTATAGAGTTGGTTCTCTTACCTCTGCCATGTCAGAGAACTTGATGTTGCCTGAGGAACCCCCAACTATGCATAGGCTTCGTGCTTGTAACAGCTGAAGTCGGTGTAGAGACGTCTGAGAGATGTTGTGGAGAACTGCGCAGAGTAGGCCAAGTTTCGTCGGATTAGTGTAGAATGGACGTCTAGTAGAGACTACTAATACTACCTAGTAGGCTACCTAATACAGGACTACTACTGCTACATTGCGGACGCACGACCCCGGCATAGAGAGCTTCGTCCCCAAAATATTGGATTAGAGACAGGCTAATGCCTCCTAGAAAGTTATGCTGGAACGTGGAGTCGCGAACTTTTTATTTATTTTTTATTTATTTCTTATTTGTTTATTACATACTGCTGACCTGTTTACCAGGTCTTAAGCAGGATGGGCATACAGAAATGTTTACTACAAAACATAATTGACATCACACAGCATACTGAGAGTGGTACAATTCAACACTTTTGTATTAATTTACAAAAAAACTACAGAAAACATTACAACATGACATAGCTTTGCTGACTGAAACGTACTAAAAAAATGGAAGCATTGCGTAACTCTGGGCTGCCTGACTGTACAAAAACTGATAGAAGTTATTGATAGCATGTAAAATATCAACTGTTGACACTGTACAGCCTCGGTGATAGGCAATTCCCTCACGGGTAGTTTTTTGGAAAAAATCAATACCTGAATGTGTCTGTGTGGTTTACGTAATCTAAAACTTTCTTTGAATACTGTGAGCGCACAGCATATTCACTTATTTTGTCTATGTGCACTGTTTTGTCGATACCAATTCGTTGTGGAAATGAGGTGAAAAAGCTTCAGCCTCTCCATTCTTCGTCTATCCAGTAGTTTTTCGAGATCCGGCTTTAATTAGTAGAGTGAAGGGCAAGTACACCAACTACAACGATTAAAACAATCGACAGATTTCTTTGTACCATTCTATTTTTTAATATTGGCTCAGTAAGGGATCCCACACTGCAGATCCATTTCTAATACTGGTCTAATGAAAGTTTTGTACGCGAGATTTGATGTGGAGTCGCATTCACAAGCCTCCTTCGCAAATAGCCCAAGCTTTTTCATTGCCTTTCTTCAATATATTCTATGTGTTCATTCCATTTTAAGTCTGATGTGAGTATGAGTCCTAATTATTTGTGTTTAGTGACTTCGGATAACACATGATCATTGACGTGATAGGTGAACAGAAGCAGCTGTTCTCTTAACTCACTTGCTACTGTTTTTTAAATTGTCATCTGCCGATTGTCACACCATGTTTTGAAGCATGCTATGCAGTATTTCAAGATTCTTTATCATCGTAACTATAAATTTCCTGATATAGTATAATTCGTCCGTGCAAAGCTTTATTTTTGCGGCAAGTTTAGAACATATCATTAATAAATAACAAAAAACAACGGCCCCAAAATTGACCCTTGGGAACACCCGATTTACGGGGGCGGAACTCGAGGACACCATCAATGGTACACATTGGCTCCTCATTGAAAGATAAGCAGCTATCCATGCAGTAATTTCTCATTTTTCAGAATTGGTTTGAGCTTAATTAGTAATTTCTGGTGACTCCACGATCGAAAGCTTTCTCAAATCCAACATATAACACTACTTGACCATTCATATCGATCGCTGCTGCTAGGTCACGAAAACGTCTCAATAAGTTGGGTTACCGTAGAATATCCTTTGCGAAAGCCGTCTACCCACGAAAGCCGTCTACATGCCGCCCTACCGTCAGATTTTACCCTTCCCCCCCGGTATGAAGGCGAAAACGTTTGGCGGTCGCCCCCTGAGAACACAGCAATCCTCTCGCAGTTGCTTCCGAGCAGCAGTGATGTCACGTGACAGATAGGTACGCAAGGCCTCGTAGAAGAAGTATGCCTGGAACGTCACTCTATTTTCAAACGGGAGCTTCCTGCAAGTACAAAATCTCAGAGGCCATGCCTCATGCCGCGTGTTGCGACCATCCGCCGCGGGGAACCGCTCACTTCCTACCGCTCTGTCACGTGACATCACAGCTGCTCGGAGGCAACTGTGAGAGAATTGCTGTGTTTGCAGGGGGCGACCGCCAAAGGCGTTTGCCTTCGTATCGAAGGGAGGGGGTAAAACCCAAGGGTAGAGCGGCAAGTTCACGGCTCACGTTCCAGGAATAATTTTTCTAGGAAACATTGGGTACGGTAATGTCACGTGACTGAGCGGTACGGAGGCGAGCGGTTCCATACGGTGGACGGTCGCAACACAAGGCAGGAGACATGGCCTCCGAGATTTTGAGCTGGCAGGAAGCTTCCAATTGAGGGGATAGCGACGTTCCAGGCATAATTTTTCTAGGAGGCATTGAACAGGTGAATATTACTGCGCTGTCAACAAAGCAAGCTTCATTGAATGAATCACGCGGCAGTGCTGCTCGCTGATGGGCAGAAACTGAACGATTGTAGTGCAATCGCAGACACGCATTTCATGCTGTTAACCAGGTAAAAACAAATGCAATACCAACCCTCCAGTAGGCAACCCATCTGCAAACGTCCACCTATGATTAAAAAAAAACGCCCCCGAATTGACGCAGAGTAAGCGAACTTTCACTGCACGTTCTTAATAAGACTGCCGCCTGAATACTAGTCGCTCTGTGGTCCGCTTCTTGCGCTGTTTCGTATGTCATTAGCGTCGAAAGAGTTTGAGGTAGCAGCTTGTGTGGTTCTATTGCCAAACAATGTACCGACCGAGCCAGCGTCGCGAGCGACCACTATATTCTTTAGACCTTTTTCTGTTTTCAATGAATTTGTTCGTTTTCCGCTTATCTCTTCATCGAACGGTCCATGCCGTTTCTCAAGACCGTGACATAGTGCGCAATTTCGGAAACGTGGCAGCAGCTGTCTTTTTTTACGTCGGAGCCTGTGCGCTTTTTTTGGCGTACATAAAACACAATTGTGCACATTCGGAGAGAACAAAAAGTATATAGGCTTCGCAGCAGCTTCAGCCATGCTTAACGAAACTCTCGAAGTTGCTGTGATGCATGCGTAAGAGATTTAGGGCTGCCGATTTATGTTGGTGGTGTCGGAGCATAGAGCGTTTCCTCTTTCAACGTTGTAGGTTATCGGTGCTTACCGCAACGTAGGTTTTAGGGTTGAAGCTCCTCAGGGTGCGGGTCGTTCCCTACTCCGTTTGTATGTAGTATGTATGTAGCCAGTCTAGTTTACGAATTGCTCACTAGATGGCATTAGTAGTTTTCGTATTGTTGAATGTTGAAGAGGATAGGATGCGCTGTTATATTAGGAAATTCACAGCATATCCACAGAGTGAATGATGATGAGTGGGGCGAAGCATCTGTCCGCACGGACGTCTCATGCGTTCTCTGGTGGGATAGGAGCGGACGGACGGATTGACAGACAGACAGACAGACGACAGACAGACAGACAGACAGACAGACAGACAGACAGACAGCGACAGACAGACAGACAGACAGACAGGGACAGACAGACCATAGAGTTTCCCAATATACACTAGAGGGAATCTGGCGCTAGTGTCTATGGGAGCTGCAATGCACAGCGCTTCAGCGAGCGTAAGAATGATGGGTAGTACAAACATTTGTCTAAACTTCGTGCTTTTGGCTCCGTGTGTGTTCGTGTGGCTTGGAGCTGTTTTCTCACAAAACAAAAATCAGCAAATGTTCAGCAATTGCACTTCACCACGCTATTTTTTTTCGAATTACCTTTCCGAATAGGGTCACAAAGTTCAAAAGCGTTCAATCTTTTTTCAAAACGAAATCCAAACGCAGCAAAGAAACGAACCGCAAGTACGATTCGCCGCCCGCAAGTACAATGACTAGGCAATGTGTGTACTACCCATCATTCCCATGGTCGCTGAACGATCGCAGCGCAGAGTGCCCTCTATTAATTTTTAGAAACTCTATGAGACAGCAGACAGACAGACAGACGACAGACAGACAGACAGACAGACAGACAGACGACAGACAGACAGACAGACAGACGAACAGACAGACAGACAGACGGGTGAGCGGGCGAGTGGGCAGACGCTTTGCTCACTCATTGTCATTCCCTCCATGATTATGCTGGAACTTTTTTTATCTTGCCCGGTATACGGTGCACGCAAAGACATTTATGAAATACCGGGTTACCGAACCATGTGATGCTGCGAACCATGTGAAACATCTTGTGATGCTTTTAGCAACAAAAACAGACAAAGTTGTTCGTTTTCGTATCCGGTGTCCTTGAGGGGGAAAAATTGACAAAGGGCAAATCTTGCC